TTTTGTCTTTCATTTTGTAACAGTATGATGTAGAATCTACCAAGATTGGATAAGGAATACAAAACAACCATGGTAAAAACCATAAGTGTTGTTTTTTTAACTCTAGTTTATACACTGCGCAGGATAAATCTGCGTTGCTTGGTCTATCCACGTTTATTAATGTTCTTGCTGTACGTATATCATTTAAATAGTTGAGTTAAAGTAGAGTTAAACACTTCTATCCTTTACAGCCAAGGAAGCTGCCATCTTAGCCTGTTTGATCTGCAGCCAAGGCCGTATTTAATGCAGGGCAAAAGGGGCAGCTGCCCTGGGCCCTGTCATTGTTCTGGGGCCCAGAGTGGGTGCCCCTTGAGTCCGCTGTGTATGGGGGGATGAGTTGAGTTGTTCACATGGAGTACTAAGGTGAACTGTGGACAGGGGTGCAGAGTTGACCACTGATTTGGCAAATAGGTGAACAGTGGCAAGAAAAGGTGGGCTGTGGACAGAGAAAAAAGTGGTGAGCTGTAAATGGGGGGGGGGGGGGGGGGGGTACAGAGGTGAGCTGTGGATGGGGGAGGGGGTACAGAGGTGAGCTGTGGATGAAAGGGTACAAATGTGAGCTGTGGATGTGGGGGATACAGAGATGAGCTATGTATGGGGGGGTAGAGAGGTGAGCTGTGGATGGGGGGGTATCAAGGTGACCTATTGATGGGGGGTACAAATGTGAGCTGTGGATGGGGGGTTACAGAGGTGAGCTGTGGATGGGGAGGGGGTACAAAGATGAGCTGTGGATGGGGGGGAACATAAATGTGAGCTGCATATGGGGGGGGTACAGAGGTGAGCTGTGTATCTGGGAGGGGGGGGTACAGAGGTGAGCTGTGGATGGGGGGGGGTACCAAGGGAAGCTGTGGATGGGTGAGTACAGAGGTGAGCTGTGGATGGGGGATACAGAGGGGAGCTGTGGATGGGGGGGGTACAGAGGGGAGCTGTGGATAGGGGCACAGAGCTTAGATAAGAGGTAAGCAGAGGTGTGCAGAGGAGACAACCCAAATTTACTAAGTGGCTCCTTTGGGGGTGGCGCTACACTGGCTTTTGCTTTCCAGCACTCACACTCCACAATGTGCAGACACACAACACATGCAGCCTCCTCCCTGGGAGTCTACAGCATCCTGCCTAATCAGCAGTGACTCGATGGTAGATAGAGAGCACAAAGAGCCAATGAGAATGGTGGCCTGGATTAGATAGCAAGGTGCCATAGCCACTTTTGGAAGGGCAAAGGACGGGGCTCCAGAGTGCTGCTGTGCCTGGCAAGGGCTGCGCTGATTTGTGTGGGTTGAGGTGGCGGTGGAGAAAGAGGTGCTTGCTGCCTCTGGACAACGAAAACAAGCTGCACCCGGAGGACAAACTTTGTGTAAGTCTCACCTGCCCTGTATTCCTGGCTGGTCCTTCTGCTGCAGGTAGCATGACTAGTTTTCTATTCCTGGCAGCCAATCCTCAGGGATGCTGCTCAAATTGGGCTCTGTTCCTTTTTATCCTTTATAGTTGTGTGTGCTCCACTCTACTCATTGCTAAGAACAAGCTCTAGGAGTGTTCTTCTGTCTAATAGTGGGTCCCCTAACCTCCCCTATCCATGGTGTGCAGGCAGTGAGGAAATGATGTGCTGTATCCTTCAGCAACCAATCAGTGAGCCATAATGATGTGCTATAACCTCTAGCAACCAATAAGTAAATGGTAATGATGCACAGTAACCTATAACAACCAATCCATGAGCGGTAATAATGTATTGTCACGTTCAGCAGTCGATCAGTGAGTAGTTATGATGTGCAGTAACCTCTAGCAAACAAGCAGTGAGCAGTAAGGATGTGCAGTAACCTCTAGCAACCCATCAGTGAGCCTGGACCAATCAGCGAGTGTGAACCAGTTCTTTATGTTTATACTATTACTTTATTTATATAAATAAATGTGTGTGTTTTTTTTGGGATGTTGGGGTACAGACCAAAATTGCATGGGGGGGCCCAAGAAAATGTTTACAAACAAATAAGCTTGCGAGCCACCGAGGTATGGTATACGTGTGCTAGATCGCTGGTTATTATGCCCACTCTCATGTGATGTGTGTTTTGTAACAAATATTTAAATATTGCGCTCCCAGTGCTGCTTGTAAATAAATAAAATAAAATTATATATGAGTGATAGTTAATACCGTGACTCATTGATTTAAAATTAAACTTGTGAAAAATAAAATAAATATTCGCAGGTCATATATGTGCAATCCCTATTGCCATGTGCAAATCTGAGGTTCCCAAATGGAAGATTTGCACATGGTAATAGGGATTGCACATATAGTGACCTGCGAATATGTTATGAATTTATTTTTCACAAGTTTAATTTTATACATCTAATGAGTCACGGTATATCAACTATCACTCATATATAATTTTATTTTATTTATTTACAAGCACTTTGCACTTTTCAAACTAGAGCGTGGTAATTATTTAAATTATTTGTTCCAAGAAAATGTTTGCCCAGGGTCCAATCCATATTAAAGACAGCCCTGAACATGACAATGACAACACGTGTTAGGCGGAGTCAAGCCACGGCCCCTCTGTTTGTAAGTATATGCCTTGGTATTTTATTTGATGTAAGTGCAATACTTTTTTAAATAAAGGGAGTTTTAAATGTACTACATCATGAGGACATCCTGTGTTGTATGAGCTAACTTGCAGGGAGAATCCCTCAAATTTAAAGGATCATAACCTGGAAACCTGGAAGCAGCATACACCACCAGATGTAGCAGTTGAAGGAGGAGCTGTAAAGGAGCTGCTTTGGATTGGAGTTTGTTATTAACTTCAGTGTGGGGAAAGCATGATTTGACCTGAGAATTGACAGGTCAATTTTGGAAGTGAGCGCATATGTGAATGATGGTTGGTCAGTCTGCAAAATACATGACATAGCAACATAAAGGGTGGATTTAGCTTGTGACTTTATAACCACTATATAGAAAGACATAGTCAAAAAGAGACTACACTTGGTTGCATGGACTTGGATTTATATGTTTAATTACTTGCATTTTGTATTTTGATATATGCATATATATTTACACATGTGGAGATATTTGATTCATTGAGATTGCATTGGGTAGACACAACAAAATTATTTATGTTTATTTATACCTTGGATGTAACTGCTTTTGTAAACAGTTAAAGCGATGACTTTAGTTCTGCTCTAATAGTTAATTTGTTACAGTACTTACTGAAATTAATATAAATACTGTAGCCATTCATTTTCTAATTAAGTGTGCTTTAAATAGAGAAAATCCATCAAACTCTTAGTTCCCTGTCTAAGTTAACAACTCTGCCTCTGTTGCTCTGAATCCCAAACAGAGGTATCAGCCCTGCCTAAGCTCCCCCCCCCCCCCCCCCCAGACTACACAACACTGCCTCTTACTTTTTGTGGATATGGAGAGGAGGAGGTATTCTGTAGTTCACAAAGAGAACTCCTTCCCTATTGATCTCCATACTAAACACCATATGTTATGGAGGAGAGGGAAGGGGATTGTTCTGCTGAACTATAGAACACTTTGCCATTTTGATATAAAGAGGAGGAGGTGTTCTTGTTGACTACAGGGCACCTCCACAATATGTTATGGAGATGAAGGGAGGAGATGTTATGGTGGACTGCAGAATACTTTCACCTTGGTATGCATATGGGGAGAGGGGGTTGTATTCTTTAATCCAGCAGGAGAAAACTGGACAGGACTAGCAACACTGGTTGAGATTTTAGTGCAGAAGAGGCAATGTGTTGTCAGCTAAAACTGGAAGTTAGGAGGATACTGAATTTGTGGCAGATCAGTTGGTATTTTTCTGTAGTTCAACATTTTAAGAGGGATTAAACATGTAAAAATCTGGGTTTATTGCAGAAATTCACTTTTTTTTTTGCCTAAATCTACACCTTAAAGTAGATAGGATAAATTAAGATTAATGTTGTTTAACCCTTTTTAGTTTTTTTTTTTTTTTTTTGCACAGTGTAAAATAAATATACTGTATGCTATTACCACTTTGAAAAGGGCATACATACACTTCAAGATATATATTGTATAATGAGGTTTCCAGTTAAAATATATTCTCACTAGATCAGTCAGTCTTCTTTGTGTTTCTTTTTCTATTTCTATCAGCAAGGATCTCTCTATTCCCTGCACGCTCAGAGGCTTCTGTCACTTGCATTAGATGCATTGAATTTCAATAGAGCCAATTGCTGTTCTTCTGCTTGGTATAAAATCATGACATTTAAGGCAATGGGAATCACAAACTATGGAAGCACTTGGGCAGTTGATTCTATTGTATGACAAGTAGGTGTCTCACGGGCTGTTGTCTGTGCCTGTATTACAAAGACACTGGTTATTTAGTAACAGTGAGAACAGCTGGATTGGGGGATAATAGAGGAAAAACTTACTGTAACATAATTAAATGAAAACTCCACTTTTGCTTAATATTTGTATAACTACTCCTCCTTAGGATACCCTTCTTAGTTGTAATAGTGGTTAGATAACCCTGAGAGCTAAATCTGTAGGGTTACCAGTAGGGTCACCTTTGCTGGAAATCCCTGCAATGACTCAAACAAAAAGGGGTACCCTGGTCCTCCTGGTCCTTGAGGTTAGACAAAGAGTTTAAAACTGTCTTCTATAAAAAAAAAAAGTAAATGTTGAAAAGCCTAAAAGATCACATATCCAGTGCCCTTCAACCAATAGTGCCATGGTGTCAAGTTCCAGCTCTGAACCTATAGCCTCTGTGGTGTCTGCCAGCTTCACTTTTCACTGTGCCATCTGTGGTGCTGGTCAGTTCCCTGTCTAATCTCTTAGGACAATCTTGCCTTGTCTTTCATTTTATGTGAACCTTGAACTCTTTCTTCTTCCCATAAACTTCCTGATTTAAGTCATGACCAGGGGCGGACAGACCATATGGCGAAACTCGGGCACTGCCTGAGGGCCCGGGGTCATTAGGGGCCCCATGAGATGCCCCTGATACCTATTTCATAGGCTTTTTTGAGTTTGGGCAAGGACACAGGGGCCCCATGATCCCCTATTGCCCGGGGGCCCCATGAGTTGTCAGTCCTCCCCTGGTCATGACTTTGAACTTCATCCAGCAGATATCTTGCTCCTTTGCCTACCTGCAGCTTATCTCCATTGCCTTTCATTATCAACCTTTGGCTTGTTCCTTGACTACGCTTCTGCTTGATCCAAACCTGCAACCACTTGTTACTGACCTTTATCTTGGTTACTGATTACCTGCTATATCTGCTACTGAACCTTGGCTTGCTCACCTCCTGCTGGGGTGATCCTGAGGACCCCAACCTGATACTAACACACAGAAAAACCCATCTCCACCATCAGAAGCTCTATTGAATATGGGATGAGCCTGCATCATCTGCCAGGGTGACTTGCATGTATACCTATCCTGCTGGTTGGTGGGACCCTCTCTACTGCTATAGTTACTGGTCTCCAATATATAATATAATAGGAAGATCCATATGAAGACTTTATTTGTTACATAAGAATGACATAAAAAGCAAGCTTACTCATTTCAGCAAATAGCCTTATTCACAGAATAATGCTTAGTAAAAAAAAGACAGGACATATATACACAATTGCTCCACCCAAAACAAGGGCTGGCTCAAAATAATCACACAATATACATAATTAGACAAGGAAGCAATTAAAATCAAATAGCACCTAGTCAGGATCTGGGAACACTACAATGGTTCTAGTTATACAGAAGAACAAACCTTTTGCATGTCTCTAGACATTTTAAACAAGTGCAAGCAGGTGATATGCATTCTTTTGTATTTACTGGTGTAGAAAGGGTCAAAAGATCTCTTTGTGGAGGTGATGTCCACCACAAACCTCTAGAAAGAGAGGTCTGGTGGATTTTCACCTTAGGTACCAGGAGCCCTGCCGGTATGAACTTGATATGGGATGTAAATCTTTTCTTAAAATCAAGGATAAGTCCTGTTTATTAATATTTATAGAAAGTCTTCTAATACACGTCATAATATAAACCTTTGAAATAATGTGAAGTGCATGTTTTTATAATATTGTGTTTTTTTTTTCTTTTCTTATTAATTTTCATGGGTTATTTTTTACTGGTCTTTGCAAAGGCGTTTGCTTTTGGATCTGTGATTTGAATTTTTGATGTGCATTTTTTGGATTTGTTGAGGTACATAAATAAAACAAAGCGTATCTGGATCTCTTGTAATCTTTAATACCAGATCCTTATTTTGATGTTTACCATTGTCTGTTCTTGTCCCATTTGATTTTAATTGCTTAACTGTCTAAGTATGTACAGTATATTGTGTGACTATTTTAAGCCAGTCCTTGTTTTAGGTGTAGCAATTGTATATATAAGTCCTGTTTGTTTTACTATGCTGTAAACAAGGCTATTTGCCGAAACAAGTCAGTTTGCTTTTTATGTCACTCCTACGTAACAAATAAAGTCTTCATATAGATCTTGGAGTTGCCGGATCGTCCTATTATATTGCCTAGAAAAATTCACATAAACAGCGCTCTGTCATACTAGATTAAACTTGAAAAGGAGTCATAAATAAACCAATTCTAAAGGAAATAATATAGAAACTTCCACCAAAGTGAAAAAAACACCCTCAGAGGAAGTTGAAATGGTGAACCGCGTCAAAGTGACCATCTGTGATGTCAGCACGCACGCCGGAACCACGTGGAGCGCTCACGTGACCATTGCTGCTGGAATTCATAGAACCAGTGTTTGGTGAGACTGTCACCAGCCGCACAAGCGGCAGCCATTATATTGGAAGTGCTATACTTACAATGTGCTTTTCTTTTCAACTCAATGTGAGTGTTATTTAAGGTTTTTTTTTATGGTAATAAATGTGTTTACGGAATCACACTGTGGCTGTTTTATTTTCCCATATATGGAGAGAAACTGATATAATTTAATCTGGATGATGAGGAGACTGGAGCAGGAGTGATCATTAATTCACTTTCGCTTTCACAACCATTCATCATCAAGGAGGTTGTTTTCTACTGATTTTCTACTGATTTTCCACTGCTGGTTATTCACCAGCTTCTGGTAAGTGCTGAATTCAATGGGGTGATAATCACTGCAGGATCACATTGATGGTGGATTGAGCTACCTTAAATAGCTTAGATACCTTAAATATTACTAAAGAGAACTGAACTTGTTCACAGTTTTTTCACTTGGAAGTTTCTGTATTATTTCCTTTATAATTGGTTTATTTATGACTCCTTTTCAAGTTTAATCTAGTATGACAGAGAGCTGTTTACGTGAATTTTTCTAGTCACTGTATATTGATTTATGAGTTAATTAAAATGGCTGCTCTGTTTTATATATACAATTTAATGTATGTGTTACTTTCACCATCACTTTAGCATGGAGTTATAGGTTGTGATTCACAACTTATACATATTGTTTGTATTTTTCTTCCTATTATATTATATATTGTATCCAGTGGTTGGAGTACCCTTCAGGGCCTGAGCACTTGTACAAGTGGATTCCATCATTCAATTAAAGGTGTGTTCCCTTTTGTGAACGCAGCTTCTTGCTCTTTGTCTACTGGTCTCCAAGCCTGACCCCTGACCAAGAAACATGGAATAGTTAAGTAATATAACTGTTATTTACATAGTTTACATAGTTAATCTGGCTGAAAAAAAGAGAAGTCCATCCAGTTCATTATTAAGACTAAAAAAAGTTTAATCCTACACCCACAGTTGATCCAGAGGAAGGCAAAAAAAAACCCAGCAAAGCATGATCCAATTTGCTCCTGCAGGGGAAAAAATTCCTTCCTGATCCCCCAAGAAGCAATCGGATATTCCCTGGATCAACTTTACCTATAAATGTTAGTATCCAGTTATATTCTGTGTATCCAAGAAAGAATACAAGCCTTTTTTAACCGCTTAAGGCCCGCCCTATAGCAGATATACCGCTACAGTGCGGCACCTGTGTGCAGAATCACGTATACAGTATATATGTCAATCTGCATTCCCGGGTAGGAAGCGCGCGCGAGCCACGCGCGCTCTACCTGCGCTACTTTTCATGGTTACAGATGCCAATCACCGGGTCCCAGCCAGCCAGTAATTAACCCCCAGCACCCGGTGAAAACCGAGCATCTCCTACTGGCAGGAAGATTGTTTTGTTTACAAACAATCTTCCTCACTGTCAGCTCGAGCACACTGCTTGGGATGGCTGTGCACAGTACAGCCATCCCGATTGATGTGCTTACAGTGAAGAACACGCGCCCGCCCCCTAGTAAAACACTCCCAGCACACAATTAACCCTTTGATCACCCCTCACATTAACCCCTTCCTGCCCAGTGTCATTAGAATAGTCTTAGTGACAGTGTGGGGGTTTTTTAGCACTGATCACTGTATTGGTATCACTGGTGTGTCAGTGACATCAAGTTAGTTCCCCACCAGTGTCAGAATGTCCGCTGTAGTCCACCAGTCCCGCTAAAAGTTGCTGATCAACGCCATTACTAGTAGAAATAAAAATCCCATTATTTATACCGCCCTTTGTCAATGCTATAACTTTCACGTAAACCAATTAATTTACACATATTGGGATTTTTTTAGCAAAGTCCTGTAGCAAAATACATTTTGGCCTAAATTTATGACGAAATTTGATTTTATAAATTTTTTTACTGGACATGTTTAATAGCAAAAAGTCCAAAATATTGTTTTTTTTCTCAAAATTGTCAGTCTTTTTTTGCTTATAGTGCACAAAATAAAAAATGCACAGGCAATCAAATACCAAGCTCAATTTGTGGGAAAAAAAAGGACGTAAATTTAATTTGGGTGCAGCATTGTATGACCGCGCAATTGTCAGCTAAAGTAACGCAGCGCCGTAACAAAAAAAATGGCCTGGTCAAGCAGGGGGTAAATCCTCAGGAGGGCAAGTGGTTAAAGCAATCCACTGAGCTGGCCAGAACCCACTCTTGAGGGAGTCTATTCCACATTTTCACAGCTCTTACTGTGAAGAAACTTTTCCGTGTTTGGAGAATTAATATCTTTTCCTCCAGATGTAAAGAGTGCCCTCTTGTCCTCTGTGATGACCTGAAAGTGAATAGCTCTACACCGAGTTCACTATATGAACCACTGATGTATTTATACATGCTGATCATATTCCCCTTAATCTCCTCTTCTCAAGAGAGAATAAATTCAGTTCCTCTAGTCTTTCCTCATAGCTGATCTCCTCCATGCCTCTTATTAGTTTGGTTGCCTTTCTTTGTACTTTCTCCGGTTCCCCAATGTTCTTTTTGTGAATTGGTGCCCAAAATTGAATTTCATATTCCAGATGAGGTCTTACTATTGATTTGTACAGGGGTAATATGATATCTCTCTCTGGAGTCTACACCTCTTTTAATGCAAGAGGATTTTGCTCGCTTTAGATACTGCAGCTTGGCATTGCATGCCATTATTAAGCTTGTGATCTACCAGAACCCCCAGATCCTTCTCCACCATTGATTCCCCCAGTTGTACCCCCCTAGTATGTATGATACATGCATATTCTTAGCCCCCAAGTGCATAACCTTACATTTCTCAACATTAAACCTCATTTGCCACATAGTTGCCCAATTAAACAGTGCATTGAAGTCGGCTTGTAAGTTGGAGACATCCTGTAAGGACGTTATTCCACTGCACTGCTTGGTGTCATCTGCAAAGACTAAAATGGTATATTTAATCCCAGACCCTATATCGTTTATAAATATATTAAAAAGTAAGGTTTCCAACACTGAACCTTGGGGTACACCACTGACAACCCTAGACCATTCAGAGTATGAATCATTAACCTCTACTCTCTGAATGCAATCTTTTATCCAGTTTTCTATCCATTTACATACAGATTTGTCGAAGCCTGTTGACTTTCCCTTACACATTAGCTGTGTGTGGGAAACTGTGTCAAACGCTTTTGCAAAATCCAAGTATACACTATGTCCACCGCCACCCCTCTGTCCAAGGTTTTGCTCACCTCTTCATAAAAAGAAATCAGATTTGTTTGACAACTTCTGTCTTTCATGAATCCATGCTGTATGTTGCTTAAAATATTTTTTTCTAGCAATAACTCATCTATGTGGTCTTTTATTAAACTCTCCAGTATCTTCCCAACTATAGAAGTTAAACTAACAGGTCTATAATTACTTGGTAAAGATG